TGAAAAATACATTTGGGGCCCCCGAGAAGGTTTTACATAAAAAAAGCATTTGGCGCCCCCAAGAAGGTTTTACATTTTTAAAAAAGACAATTGGAACTCTCGAGAAGGTTTCACATTTTTAAAAAATAAATTTAGGGCCCTCGAGAAGGTTTTACATTTAGAAAAAAACACTTGGTGTCCCCGACAAGGTCTTACATTTTTGAAAAATACATTTGGGCCCCCCGAGAAGGTTTTACATAAAAAAAACATTTAGCGCTCCCAAGAAGGTTTTACATTCTTAAAAGAGAAAATTGGGACCCCCGAGAAGGTTTTGCATTTTTAAAATAGACAGTTGGGACTCCCGAGAAGGTTTTACATTTTTTAAAAAGACAATTGGAACTCTCGAGAAAGTTTCACATTTTTAAAAAATACATTTGGGGCCCCCGAGAAGGTTTTACATTTAGAAAAAAACCTTTGGCGCCCCCAAGAAGGTTTTACAATCTTAAAAGAGAGAATTCGTACCCCCGAGAAGGTTTTATATCTTTAAAGGAGAGAATTGGGACCCCCGAGAAGGTTTCACATTCTTAAAAATATACATTTGGCGCCCCCAAGAAGGTTTGACATTCTTAAAAGAGAAAATTGGGACCCCCGAGAAGGTTTTACATTTTTAAAAGAGAGAATTAGGACCCCCGAACATTCTAAAAAATACTCTCTCGAGACACCCGAGAAGTTTTTACATTTTTAAATAAAGAAGGGCGCATTCTCACCTTTTTGAGAAAGTGGGCTAATTTCAAAAAAAAAAAATTGGGTATGTAATAGTAAAATCGAAAAATTATTAAACTGTAAATCTGAAAAATAACAAAAAAAAGTATTGAAATTACAATGATTTTAAAATAGAAAAATTTAAAAATCAGATAATTTTAAAATAAAAAAAACAACAAAATTTAAAAATAAAAAAATTGCTAAATTATGAAATTAGAAAATCAAAAAAATTGGAAAATTGAAGAATAAAATTAAAGCCAAAAATTACGCTCCACCTATGCTTGCCCTGACCTAAATAGTAATGAAGTTTTGATTCGTTGGCAGACCTAGGGGCGGAGCCTAATTGCAAAATCCCTATTTCCTTACAAAAATTACCATTTTGAACGTGTATAAAGTTTCTAAGCGTGGGCGGAGTTTATATTCTGCCTTTTATCCATATTCTTTGAACAACACGATGCAAAAACAAGTTTTTAATTTCGTGTAAAGAAATAAGTAGTTTGCAGTTAAGCTCCCCCCTCTTGGTTTACTGCGAATAAAAAAAATCATCACAATTGAGTTAGGGCGGGTGGGCGGGCTTACATTTTGCCTTTTTGTTTTAATATGTGTAGACTTATTTTCCAATATGAAACTTAAAACCTGTTTAAAATCGAAAATTTGTATAAGGAAGTATCAATTTTGCAAATAGGCTCCGCTCCATAATTGCAAAATCCATATTTCCTTGCAAAAATGATACATTTTAACCATATTTTAAGTTTCTTGTTGTGAAAAGATGGCTATATATATTAAGAAAAAAATAGGCAAAATATAAGCCCCGCCCACCCACCCTCTCTCAATTCTGATGATTTTTTTATTCGTCGTAAGCTGAGGGGCGGAGCTTAATATTAAAATCCTTATTTTTCTACGAGAAATTACCAAGTGAAAGATGTGCTTAAGTAATCGTGTTATGCAAAGAAACCTAAATGTATTAATTAAAAAAGAAAATAAATCTGGAAAATTGTAAAGATTGAAATTCGATTAATTGTGCAATAGAAAATTTTAAAAATCAGATAAATCTAAAATAGCAAAATAACAAAATTTAAAAATTAAAAAATTGCGAAATTATGAAATCAGAAATTCAAAAACTTGAGACACTGAAAATCGAAATTTTGTAAAATTAAAAATCAAAAAAATGGAAAATCAAAACAGTGAAATTCGAATAATTGAAAAATCAAAAATTGGTTAGGTACCTATGTAATTGAAAAATTAAAAATTTTGGAAAACGAAAAATTATTAAATTGAAAATCGAAAATTTGTTGTAAAAATTGCGAAATTAAAAGTTGAAAAATTGGATAATTATTTAAATCGATAAACTTATTAAAATTTGAGAAAATGGACAAAAAAGAACTGAAAATCGAATAATTTTTAAGTCGAAAAATTGAAAAATCGAAAAATTGCGAAATTATGAAATTGAAAAATCAACAACTTGAAAAACTGAAAATCGAAACAATGAATTTCGAATAATGGAAAAATCAAAAATTTAATATATAATTGAAAAAATAAAAAAAATCAAAAACGAAAGATTTATAAATTAAAAAAATTGAAGTCAAAGATTAAGCTCCACCTATACCTGCCCTGGTCTAAATAGTAATGAATTTTTCATTCTTTAATTCATACCTAGGGGCGGAGCCTAATTGCAAAATCCATATTTCCTTACAAAAATTTACCATTTTAAACGTGTTTTAAGATAGTATTCTTTGAATAACACGATGCTCAAAAACATGCTTTTAATTTCTTGTAAAGGAATGAGTAATTTGCAGTTAGCTCCGCCCCTTTGGGTCACAGTGAATAAAAACAATCATCACAATAGAGATAGGGCGGGTGGGGGGGCTTAGATTTGCCTTTTGTTTTAATATGATTGTGTATACTTATTTTCACAATATGAAACTTGAACATATTTAAAATCGACCCGCATTTCTGACTCGTAACCAATAGACCACGACTTGAATGCCTTACGCTAATGGAAAACTGGTGTTATACCGAGCATTGTTTTTTTTTTTTTTTCAAAAATTTACACGGTTAGGGAAAAACTCAAGCCGAATTCGTACACCACACTTATAGGACGATATTATTGTATAACAGCTAAATCAAATAAACATAGCATTCTTTGAAATGACGTCATCAAATTGTTGGTGGGGATGATCAGCAAAATTTTTGTTAGCTTTTAACCATCTACATGATATTTCTAAGATACATACAAAATTTGACACCAATCGGTGCAGCAGTTTCGAAGATTACATAATAATAAACATGGATACAGACACCAGACAGACAGACAGACAGACAGGCATACAGAAACGAGAGACTACTTTTTTCGTCTGATGGACTCGATTAAAAAAAGAAAGGAAATCTCGTATAATTTTCTGCGCGATTGTTTTTTTGATTTTTTGCTTATGTCATGGTAATATTATAAATCAAAGCATAAGTAGAATTTAATGGTCGACCTGGGAACAATACTAAACCCGATTATAAAACCCACAATCGACGTTTTATGCAAATGCAAAATTACAAAATGTACCTAAGTTGACATATAAACGCCCCATTAAACTTATCTAAATGGTTTTTGAGTAGTTATTGTTTTAAACAGTGCGTCAACCATTTTTCAATTTAAAATAAAACACGTGTTTCGGTGCAGCACAGTCTTCAGGTCGTACAGGAAGTGAACGTGCTTTTCAAGCACAAATTGTTCTTTTCTGTGCAGAATTCAACTTAATTACACTTATCACTGATTTGTTAAGCTCCTGCAACGTGCTTGCGATTCGCCCACATCGATCTTTCTGACACACCGCAGTGTCTGTTTCACACTTGATATTCGTCGGCGGTGAAACTTGCACCTGCCACCATTGCATTATTTTCTCACGTAGATAAATGTAGCTTACGTAGATGATTTGTGTACATCATGGTAGATTGTACATCCTGCTGTGTTTCAAGCAACATCCCCAGCTCTTACTGCCGCTGGTAAGCTCTGTTGTTTCTCATGCTTCTCATCTAACACGAAAATATACACTGCATTAGTAGTAATAGTGGAATTTAGGAGAGACCCGGAAAAGTCCGGCACTTAATGTTCGGTTTCTATGAGGCACTGTGGTGACGAGGTTGATTGAAAACTTCCATTAATCACGGTGCTAACAGAAACATTTAAAACAGCAAGAAAATTCCAGCCGCACTTGGATGAAATTCGGATGTGTTTTTCCAGTATAATAATTGCAAATTAAGCCGTAATGGAATATTTTCGACATGAAAGAAAAGTCTGATCGAAACACAAACGCATTTCCGGGACGTACGTACGCCTTTGAGCTAGCTAAAAAGGTCGTGAATAAATAGACGAGACAAAGAAAGCACCAAGTTCTACTATATTCAGTAAAGTGACACTTATGACGGTTTTCTTGAAATGTGTACAGAGTTATTAGAATCTCGTAACTGTGGATCGAATGATACACATAAATATAGCGAGAGAGATATTTATAAGCTTGTACTGCTTTTAATCTTGCAAGGAACAAAATATTGACGTATCGGTATCTGATCTATGCCGTAGGTATGCATAAAAGTCTCGAACTTGTCATATTTTTTTCTGTTTATGCATAATAAAGACATAACTAGTCGACATCATATTTTTAATGCGTCACATTATATATTCACTGTTAATGTGGCGGTAGCTGATGCCTTTTATTGATAAACATATCAATGTCGTGGTAACTTGAGCGTGAACATTGGTCGACGGTTTTCCTCATTTTTTTAACATTTCGTCTTGTGAATAATTAAACGGGGACAAAATAAAGCTCGTTTTGAAAGTTTTTGTTGTTAAATATAGACAATTTCAGAAAAGGTTGGACGAAAATTTTCTTGGGATGTTTGTATGCTACGCCACTGCGTCCACATAGTTGGTAAATTGGATGTGACATTTGACGTGATGTACAGCTATAGAGACATTAGTTTATTCCACGAAAAAACTGGTTTCCATGTTGCCGTTAATTAATTTTAATTGCTTCGGCCGAACTACAAATTTTTCAGTGTCGTCGTTTATCATATTTAGTGCGATAATGGAAAAAAAAGTTGATTAAAATTGGGCCGAGTTATTCGGTTTCAAATATTTTCCAACCAAAATTTGCATCTGCGGAAAAACAAAATAAAACATTATGTGTGTATGAGTTCCGGTAACTTTTCCAATTTTAGCAGCCGCTCGGATTTTATTGCATTATACTATAATATCTCTTTTTTTTCAGATTTTTATCGGCGTGAAAGAAGTGAGGAGCTATTTCAAGATTGCCGTAACACCGCACTTTTTTATAAGGTAAGCCGATTTTAGCCGGCGTAGGGATATTAAGGATGTTATTTTTTCGAATTACCGCTTTAACTTTTAATAACAATAACGTTATCTAAACGACGCGAACAAAACGGAGCCATTGTAGTGCCTGCTTCTGAATTCAATTTGTGAAATTGTTCTTGTGAGGATATTATTTCATTATTTTTAAAAAGAATTTACAAAGGGATTAGCCAGTATAAACCTTTCGGTGTTTTTTATTTAATCCTTTTTGTCGAAATTTTAATTTGTGCGAAATTAAAAAGCGCACTCAGGACAGAAGGGTGCTACACTGGTAAAAGATTTAATTCCTTGTAAAGGAATGTATGTAATAAATAAAAACGCGTCGCGGAGTTTTCCGGAACCTTTATAGAGTTGTGCTTTCAAAAGGGACACGTTTAAATCTTCGTTGTTTCATATTTAACGGTGGCACTTTGACACTTCAAAGGCACCTGCACAATTCTGGTAATTATACGACCTATGTTCATTACGCCATATTACACATGATGGATAATGGAAGGTGGTTATGCATTGTACTGTTCCCGCCTGATACGAACACTCACACTGTCAAAGGAAATTCGTTTCTCCGCCAACTTCTACTGAACTTCCGTATGTACTATAGCATAGCATGTGCCGCCACTACCGCCACATTTATGCTTCACGTCTTGCCGCCCCCATAAGGGCCACTGCAAAAACAACCAAAACACAAGGTTACGTGTCGCTCAGTGATTGAGTTTATGCGTCCGAAATTAAAACAACCAACGATTCTCTTTTAAACTCCCGGATTTGTCCAGAAACCTAATATTCCCTTGTCCACGCTCATGGCCATTTCCCTAGTGGATGTAATATGATTTTCGCTTCTTTTGAATGCGTGTTCTCGACGTTTTATTTGCGTCTATTTTTCTTTTCTCCTCGTATGCGTGTTTGCTCTATTTCGTCGGTCTGTTTGTATGTGCCTGGTTGAGTGTATACGGCTTCGAAATGGACTGTCGACCCATACTTCACTTTATTTTTTACTTTTTTTTTCGTATAAGGGACACCGTAACTCACCCCGAATGCTCATCCAAGATATATAGAAAGGATCGGTGTCGTAAGAAAAATTCGCTTTCCTGAAGTGAGGAAAATTAAATAAAGGCCGCATTTTTCTAAGTTTCGGATCATGTGCTGCTAGGTATTTCGTGAAACGAAAGTTTTATTTTCATTTATTGAGGACAATTCGATTGCGATTGGGGTTCTGTTTGGAAAACTAATACACGGTTTATTGTTGGAAGGCTAGAAATAATTAAAGTCGACGTTATTTATTCAGAGAGGTGATGGAAGAGTTTTTCGACGGTTTTTCTTGCTTCTTTAGTGCCCCCGGTAATGTAGGAGATCGTGTCGGCTGGCAGGAGTAAATGAAGTTTACGCAGCTGCTACATAAAGTGCTTCATTACCACCTAGGGAAGAAAGTAAATGACAGCCGGGCACATCCACCATTTATTTTATTATTCCGTTTCTATTATTAACTTCTAAATGTAGCGGTTCGAAATGAGGATTGTTATTTATTTTTATATTATTTATTTGTGGTCTCGCAATATTGAGAGTATGAAGAAATCAGCTCCCGTTTCCGTCTCGTTAAAAATTTGCGTTTGATGTCATTCAAATTTTTTGAAATGAAATATTCCAGTACTTGTGGTTTATGAATCCGTGTCGAATCAAAATTGAGACCAACGCCACTTCCCGAGCGTAAAGTAAACAAGTATTATAATCGAGTTCATGCGCGACTGGCTACTTCCATGATTTCTCGACCCAGAGAGTACGAAAATATACGTCTATCGTTTCCCTCCGTCTTGTCTGATAATTTCCGAAACTATCGGATCGATTGTTGTCACATTTTATGTGGATGTTAGGAATATCATATAGATGGTAAAATAATAACCAAAATTTGTCTGATCATCACCACCAGCAATGGACTGATGTTTATTTACAATAATAAATGTTATTAAAATTTTATAAAATAATCTATTCCTCTACTAGTGTTGAGTTTTTACCCTAGCCATCTAGATTTTTTTAATAATATCAAAATTATATAACATTTTACAAATGCAAGTTTGAAATCTTTCAAACGTTTTAAGGTTAGTGGAAACAGGTAAATCGTTGCGTTCTAAAATGTATAACTCTTTTTGAATTTCCCAATTTTTCAATTTTTCGGCTTTTCGATTTCTTGTTTTTCATCTTTTATTTTACAATTTTTCGATGTTTCAGTTTTGGGATTTTTCAATTTTGTGACTTTAATTTGTAAATTTCTTAATTTTCGAAATTTCGATTTTTCGGTTTTTAAATTTTTCCAATTTTGAGGTTTCAAAATTTTCGATTTTCCACTTTTCAATTTCTCATTTTTTCGACTTTTCAGTTTCCCAATTTTCCGATATTTCGGTTTTACGATTTTACGTTTTTCAAATTTTTCAATGTTTCAATTTTTCAGGTTTTTGTTTTCTCAATTTTTCGATTTTTAAAATTTTCAGTTTTTCGATTTTCCGATTTACTTTACTGCTGGATTTTCTTTAAATTTTCGATTTCTTAATTTTGAGACTTTTCGATTTCTTAATTTTTTGACTTTTCGATTTCCGGACGTCTCGATTTCTGAATTTTCGGTTTTTTAATTTTGCAAGATTTCAGTATTGGATTTTTTTTAATTCTCGATTTTTCGACTTTTCGATTTTTCGCACTTTCAGTTTTTCGTCGATTTCTCAGTTTTTTATTTCTCGATTTTCAATTTTTCGGTTACGTAATTTTTCGATACTTCAGTTTTAGGATTTTTCAATATTTCGATTTTTTTATTTTTCAAATTCTCCATTACTTCTTCGATTCTTCAATTTTGTTTATTGTTCAGTTTTTTGATATTTCAGTTTCACGATTTTTTAGTTTTTGGTTCAAATTTTCGATTTTTTAATATTTAATTTCTCGACATTTCGCTTACACAATTTTTTTTATATTATAGTTTAGGAATTTTTCAAGACATATTTCAATTATTAGAGATTTTAATTTTTCAATTTTTTAAATTTTACATTTTTCGATTTCTCAACATTGCATTTCTTCGATCTTTCAATTTTTCAATTCTTCGAATTTTTAAATTGTAGATTTTTCAATTTCTGGATTTTCTTTTGGATTTTTCGATTACTCAATTTTTCGATATTTCAGTTTTGGATTTTTTTTTAATAATTCGAATCTTTTCAAGTTTTTGTGTTTTGGTTTCTCGCTTTTTCAATTTTTCCATTCTTCAATTTTTCGATTTTTCGACTTTTCAATTCTCCGATTCTTCGACTTTTCTGTTTTTCAGTTTTCCAATTCAATTTCTCGATTTTTGTAATTTACGATTTCTCGATTTTTAAAATTTTTGATTTCTCATTTTTCCGATATTTCAGTTTTACGATAATTCATTTTTTTAACTCTTCAGTTTTTCAGGTTTTTGTTTTTCGATTTTTTGAATTTTCAATTTTTCTACTTTTCAATTTTCGAATTTACCGATTTATCTGTTTTTCGGTTTTTCGATTTTTCAATTTTTCAAAGTTTCAATTTTGGGATTTCGACAATTTCGATATTTCAGTTTTGGAATGTTTCAGTATGCCCATGGTTCATTTTTTCGACTTTTTGATGTCTCCATTTTTTACTTTTTCGATTTCTCAATTTTTCAACTTTTCGATTTCTCTATTTATTGAGATTCCAATTTTTAATTTTTCAGTTTTTCAATTTTTCGATTTTCCAATTTTTCGATGCTTCGATTTGTCATCGAATTTGGACTATTTCGATTTCACAATGTTTAAATTTTCGACTTCTCGACTTTTCATTTCTGGACCTTTTCATATTCTCGACTTTTCGTCTTTTTGATTGTTCATTTTTCCAATGTTTCAATTTTTCGATTTTTTAAATGTTAGATATTCCATTTTTCAATTTATAAGCTTTTCAATTATTTGGTGTTTCCATTTTTCAATTTTTCAGATTTTTCGATTTTTCGATTTATCGGGATTTCCATGTTTTGATTTATCATTGAATTTGGACTATTTCGATTTTACAATTTTTCAATTTTTCGACTTCCCGACATTCGATTTCTCGACTTTTCATGTTCTCGATTTTCCCCTTCGATTTTTATTTTTCCAATTTTTTGTTGTTTCGATTTTTTAATTTTCCGATGTTCCGATTTTTCGACATTTAAGTTTTGGGATTTTCAGCTTCATAATTTTTCAGTTTTTCGATTCTTCGATTTGTCAATTTTTCAGTTTTTCGATTTCTCGTTTTTTTTAATTTTCTATTTTCCAATTTTTCAGTTTTCAGATTTCTCGTTTTTTTTGATCTTTCAGTTTTACGATTTTTTGATGTTTCGATTTCCCGATTCCAAAATTTTTCATTCAGTTTTTCGGTTTTACGAACATTTCAGTTTTGGGAATTTTTCAATTTTTCGATTTTTTTAATGTTACATTTTTTCATTTTTCAAATTATCAGCTTTTATAAGTTTCGATTTCTCGATTTTTCAATTCTTCGATTTCTCGATTTTTTGATTACATATTTACTTTCTCGATTTTTTTAAATTTAGATTTTTAAATTGATCAATTTTTAGATTTTTTCAGTTTTTCGATATTTCAATTTTTCGATTATACTGGATATTGCGGTTTTTCGATTTAAAAAAAATTTCGGCTTTTCGATTTCTCGATTTTTTGATTACATATTTTCTTTCTCGCTTTTTTGATTACATATTTACTTTCTAGATTTTTTAAAATATAGGTTTTTAAATTGATCAATTTTTAGATTTTTTCAGTTTTTCGATTTTTCAATTTTTCGATTTCTCGATAAATCGAGTTTCGCTGTTTTGATTTATCATTGAATTTAGACTATTTCGATTTCACAATTTTTCTATTTCTTGACTTTCGATTTCTCGACCTTTTCATGTTTTCGACTTTTCGCCTTCACGATTTTTGAATTTTTCAATTCTTCGATTTGTCATTTTTTCAGTTTCT